ACTTGAGCGTCCTGCTCTGGAGGTCGGCCTCGGAGAAGACCTTGGCGCCGGCCTGGCCCTGCGTGACCAGGCGCCCGTAGCGCGGCGGCGACGTCACGTGGAACTCGATGGCCGCGCCCCACGCGTTCATGTTGGTCTCCACGCTCAGGTTGTAGTTGGAGATGACGGCCTGCTGGCCGCGGGGCACGATGATGCCGCTGTTGTTGACGATCTCGATGAAGGGCTCGGACGCCACGATCTCCAGGATGCCCGTGGACGACAGGTGGCCGTCCGTGACGGAGATGACGGCCTTGCCGTAGGAGGGGCCGTCGTGGCGGAACACGATCCTGCGCTGGTTGATGTCCTCCTGCGTGAAGATGTACACGGGCTCGGACCTGTCCTCCACGTGGAAGAAGTCGCCGTTGGGGATCTTGCGCCGCGTGTACTGGATCTGCGTGGGCGGCGTGTCCAGGTCGGGGTCCACGTACAGCAGGTCGCTGGACGTGACGACGCGCTCGCTGTCCGTGACCACGTTGAGCACCTTCTCCATGACGCGCACCGGGTGGTTGTCGTTGATCATGAGGATCCGGAAGTGCATGACGCCCACGTACTGGAAGTCCACCTCGGGGTCCTCGGCGAGGGCCACGAAGTGGAAGCGGTCCTTGGCCGACTCGGAGTCGTCGTGCTGGTAGAACACGGAGCCCGACAGGATCTCGCGGGACGTGAAGTAGGAGGCGTTCCTCCGCTCGGGCAGGATCATGGACTCGTCGATGATGTCGATGGCGCCGTGGCGCGGCGGCGACGTGATGTTGTAGATCAGGTCCTCGATGTCCTCCACCTCGATGTGCAGGTACTTCTGCGTGATCTTCTGGCGCGCGCCCTCCTGCACGTCCAGCCGCTCCACCACGATGGTCGCGTCGACGGACGGGGGCGTGTGGCGGATGTTGAAGGTGTGCACGTCGCTGCTGCGGCCCTGACTCGACACCTGGAACTGGAACGAGTCGTGCAGCGAGGAGTAGCTCTTGCGGTGCAGCTTGTACTTGATCCTGCCCTTGGCGATGTCCTCCTGCGTGAAGGTGGAGCCCTTCTCCAGCTGCTGGTGCCGCGTCAGGTCGCCCGAACTCAGGAAGATCGAGCCGAACATGGGCGGGACGATGATGCTGTAGACGATCTCGCCGCTGGGCGCCGGGTCCGGCTTGGTCACGGTCTGCAGGAAGCCCTCGGAGATGAAGCTCTCCTGGATCCTGTCGATGAGCAGCTCGGCGTTGCGCACGACGTCCACCGTGATGGCCACGAAGTTGATCCGGAAGGTGTACTCCGTCGGGAACTTGCGCTCGCCGGCCGTGATGCGGAAGCGGAACTCGTCCACGGTCGGCTCCTTGTCGGTGTGTCGGTAGCGGATCTTCTCCTTCTCCAGCTGCCGACTGCTGAACTGGTTGACGTTCTGCCAGCGGTCGTTCCCGCGGAGCCGCTGCACGGCGCCGAAGCGGGGCATCTCCGTGATGTCGAAGCGGATCTCGAGCTCCTGCTCGGGCACGTTGGTCGTGTACGAGAGGTTGTGCGGCGTGATGAGCGCCCAGCTGCTGTGCGTCATGCTCAGCCCCGTGTTGTTGATGAGGTACACCTGCAGCTCGAAGGCGGCCACGCGCAGGATGGCCGACTCGCTCGTCTCGATCCCGTCCGACACGCGCAGCACGATCTTGGTGTTGGGCTCGCCGCGGTGCACGTACGAGACGAGGCCGCCGCTCAGGTCGGCCACCGTGAACGCGTGGATGGCCTCGCCCGGCGCCTGCGAGTGCTGGATGAAGCCGCCCGCGGGGTCGTTCAGGTTCAGCACCGAGATCCTGCGGAGGGAAGGAGCGGCGTGAAGGGCGCGGTCACGCTTCTCACGCTGGCTTTCTTTCTCTTTCTCTATTCTTTCAATATTCGCGTCTCTCTCTCTCTCTCTCTCTCTCTCTCTCTCTCTCTCTCTCTCTCTCTCTCTCTCTCTTCTCTCTCTCTCTCTCTCTCTCTCTCTCTCTCTCTCTCCCTCCTCACTCTCACTCTCACTCTCACTCTCACTCTCACTCTCTCTCTCTCCCTTTCCCTTTCCCCCCCTTCTCCTCTCCCTCTCCAGCCCCCCCCTTCCCTTACCCTCCCCCCCTCCCTCTTCCTTCCCAACTCCCACATCCCTCCCTCCACCCTCCCCTTTCCCTCCCCTACCCCAACTTTCTCCCTCTCCCCCCTTACTTAATCACTTCACACAGAAAAAACTCTAATTCCCTCAAACAACATTACCCTTTGGTCCGGTTTCTTGATCTCAGCGTCTTGGGCAAAACCTTAAGATAATTAAAGAAAGGAAAGAGGGAGCAGGAAGTCACTCGCCCAAACTGACGTCGTTTGGATTGATTCTCTGATAACATATCTTTCTCTTCTTTCGTTTTTTTCTTTCTTTCTTTTTCATCTGTTTCCTCTTCGCTCTCTTTTCTATCTCTATATTTCTCTTTCTCTCTCCCCCACCCTCTTACTCTCTCTGTCTCCCTCTCTCTCTCCCCCCTCTTTCTCTCTCCTTCTCCCCTCTCCCTCTCTCTCTACCTCTCACCCCCTCTCTCCTCTCTCTCTCTCTCTTCTCTCCCTCTTTCTCTCTACCTCTCACCACCCCTTTATCTCTCCTTCTCCTCTCTCTCTCTCCTCTCTCTCCCTCTCAAGTCTCGCCCGCTTTCACGTATTTGCTTTTCATTTCCTGTTATTAGCGCCTGACAACGAGAGGCGTCTGGAAGCCAAACGAGGGCATTGGAGATTGTCTGAGCTCACTGACTGAATTTTCTCTCTTTTCTCTTTCTTTTCTTCTTGTTTTGTCTGTATGTGTGTTTGTCTCTCTCTCTCTCTCTCTCTCTCTCTCTCTCTCTCTCTCTCTCTCTCTCTCTCTCTCTCTCTCTCTCTCTCTCTCTCTCTCTCTCTCTCTTTTATCTATTCATTATGTAACTATCCATTACCCATTTATTATCTATCTAGCTATTATCTATCTTACTATCTATCTAGCTATCATTTAGCTGGTTATTACCTATAAAGATATCATCTATCTGGGTATTACCTATCAAACCATTACCTATTTAGCTATTACTTATCAAACCATCATCTATCTGGCTGTTACCTATCAAACCATTAACTAGCAGACTACTCGTATTACCTCTCAAATAATTATTTATCTGCTTATTCAACGATCAAGCTATATCTTCAAAACAAACTCAATGTGGGACGTGTTTTAAAGATTACTCATCAGGATACTTGGAGAGAATGACATGCAGTGCTATAAAGATGATGATGGTGATGATTGTGATGGGGATGGGGATGATGGTGATGATAATGAAAATATTGATTGATAATAATGAAAATGATGGTGGTGGTGGTGATGATAATGAAAATGATGGTGATGGTGATGATAATGAAAATGATGATAATGAAAATGATGGTGATGATGATAATGTGGGGTGATATAATGATGATGGTGTGATAATGTGTGATGGATGATAATGAAAATGATGTGTATGATGATAATGAAAATGATGTGGTGGTGATGAAATGAAAATGATGGTGTGATGATAATGAAAATGATTGGTGGTGATGATAATGAAATGATGGTGATGATGATTGATTGATAATGAAAATGATGGTGGTGATGATGATAATGAAAATGATGGTGGTGGTGTGATGATAAATGAAAATGATGGTGTGGTGATGATAATGAAAATGATGTGATGATGGGTGGTGTGATGATAATGAAAATGATGGATAATGAAATGATGGTGATGATAATGAAATGAATGATGATAATGAAAATGATGATGATGATAATGAAAATGATGTGATGGTGGTGGGTGATTGATAATGAAAATAAATGATAATGAAAATGATGGTGCTGATGATGATAATGAAAATTATGATAATGAAAATGATGATGGTAATGTGGTGATGATAATGAAAATGATGGTGATGGTGTGGTGATGATAATGAAAATGATTGGTGATGATGATAATGAAAATGATGGATGATATGGTGTGATGATAATTGAAAATGATGATGATGATAATGAAAATGATTGGTGATGAATGATATGAAAATGATGGTTGATGGTGATGATGATAATGAAAATGATGTGATGATGGTGGTGGTGGATGGAAAATGATGGTGATGATGGTGATGATGATGGTAATCCTAGTTGGCAACTTCCGAGCTAAACCTCGCCTCTTTGCCTTTATTCATTGCAAATATCAAATATTCGTTCGATTCTTTGTATCCATTTTCACATAAAACACATGGAAAAAAAAAACATTTACCACAGTACATTGCATAGATTAAGCGAATCAAATAGAGGAGCGAATCTAACGCCGTCGCCAACGAGAGTGCGTTGGAGATATCAGATATAGCTAGATAAATAATAATTTGTATTAACTTGATCGATGTTGTTCTAATAACCAAAAGTAAAATAGAATAAAATAAAAATCCTCCTTTACTTATGATAATATCCTATCATTAATAGTTGTCAAATACTCCTGGAAAAGTCAATATCATTTTTAGGTTTAATTAACAGGACAAAAAGAGGTGGAGTTCCCTGAGTACAATAATAACAAAAATAATAACACTAACAAAAATAACAATAATGATAATGATAACATTATCAATAACAATAACAAAAATAAAACCACACAAATAGACTAGCAACAAACAAAACACCTACAAAATAAGTCAACAAAAATCTAAATAACAATAAAAGAAAAAAGAGAAAGAGAGAATTGTGAACAAGCAAACAAACAAAACACCTACAAAATAAATCAAAAAATAAAAAAAAAAAAAAAAAAAAAAAATATAGAGAGAGAGAATTGTGAAGGATTATTTTCGAACCAGCTTTGGTTCGGGGAAAGGGATTTGAATTAATATATGCAAACACATTTACCATAAACCGGGTATGTTTGCTTTACTCTCCAAAAGCTCTGAGCCCCCTCGGCCGAAGGCGAAATATGGCGTCGAGAGCATCGGTTCTTGGTAGGAATTTTGGGGGGTAATTTCCATTTTTTTTATCTATGTATTTTTTTTTTTTTTTTTTTTTGGGGTGAGCTTTGGAATTTGAATTTATCAAAGTTTTTTTCTTCTTCTCTCTTTTTCTCGTTCTTTTATCTCTCTCTCTCTCTCTCTCTCTCTCTCTTTCTTTCTCTCTTCCTCTTCCTCGCTCACTTCACTCTGTCTCTCTTTCTTTTCTATTTTCTCTCTCGCTTTATTCACCTCTACCTCTGCTTCTTTGTTCTCTCCCTCACTCTCCTCCCTCTTCTCTCCAACCCACCCCTCCCTTCACTCCCACCCCCACCCCACCCACCCTTCCACCACCCATCCACTCACCTACCCACCCACCCCCTCAACCACCCATCTATCCATCCACTCACCACCCACCCACCCCTTCACTCCACCCACCCATCCATCCATCCACTCACCTCACCCACCCCCCCCTTCAACCACCCATCCTATCCATCCACTCACCCATCCACCCCCACCCCTTCATCCCCCCCCATCCCTCCACTCCCCTCAACCCACCCACCCCACCCCTCACCCCCACCACCCATCCATCCCTCCCCCCCACCCCCATCACCCCACCCATCCACCCAACCCCCCCACCCTTCATCCACCCACCCATCCATCCATCCACAGAACGAAGCAGAGAGATCATATCCTCACATCCGCTCGTTCCAAGGCTTTCGCGCCCCAATCCTCTTAACAAACTACCCACTGGATTAGCGAATCCGACCCGATCATCGAATCCATCCATCATCCAGACTGCCAATTAAATGCAGGTAGGCGCAGGTGTATGAGAGAGTAGAGGAGAGGAAGGGGAGGGAGAGGAGAAGGGAGGGAGAAGGAGAGGGAGGGAGGGAGGAAGGGAGGAGGGAAGGAGAGGGAGGAGGAGGAGGGGAGGAGGAGGAGGAGGAGGGGGAAGGGAGGAGGAGGGTAAGAGGAAGGGGAGGGAGGGAAGGGAGGAAGGAGGGAGAGGAGAGGGAGGAGAGAGAGAGAGAGAGAGAGAGAGAGAGAGAGAGAGAGAGAGAGAGAGAGAGAGAGAGAGAGGAGAGAGAGAGAGAGAGAGAGAGAGAGAGAGAGAGAGAGAGAGAGAGAGAAAGACAGAGACAGAGAGACAGACAGACAGACAGACAGACAGAAGAGAGAAAGTGTGTGTGGGGGGTGGGGGTGAGGTCATATTAAGAGTCCTGAGTGCCCGGCCGCCCAAGGGAAATCAAGGCAGCCCCCGAACCCAATGGCAGGGGAGGGACGGGGGGGGGGCGCCCACGATAAGGTTCAGTATCGCATGAAAACGATTCTGAGATAAAAGGGATGATTAGATATTTTTTTGGCGAATTGATTAATTAGAAAAGGTTGATGAGCTTAATCAAGGAAAAAAAAAGAAATCTAAATAGAGTGATAGATTTTTATCAAATTGATACTTGGAGAGGAAATGGAAGGATAAGGGAATAAAGAGAGATGTAGGTATACATATATTTTTTCCTTTTTCTTTTTCCTTTTCTTTCCTTCTTTATTTTATACCTTTCTTTTCTTCTTTTTTTTTTGGGGGTGGATGAATAAATATAAAATACGTAAATTGATAGATAAACAGAAATACACGTAACAAGACATACACAGAGAAACGCAAAAAATATAAATAGACAGACAGAGATGAACAAATAAACGAATAAACAGACGGACAAATGCACAGATAGATAAACAGATAGACGGATAAGGATATGAATTAACCGATTTCAGTCTATACGTCACTTCCCCCCCCCCCCCTCTATCCCCCACTTCCCTCCTCTTCCTCCATTTTTCCCACTCTCCTATTCCCTTCTTCCTTCCCACCCACTCACTCATTCATCCACCCACCATCCCACCACCCATCCATCCATTCCACTCCCCTACCCCCCACCCCTTATCCACCCATCCCCCCTCAAAAAAAAATAATAATAATAATAAATAAAATACCTGTCATCTGAATATCTAATTTAATATATATTTTGTTATCCAGTTAGTTTTATTCATCTTAACATTATTCATCATCAACATTCTTCAAGAAAATAATAATAAAAATAATAAACATTCTTAAACTGTTTCCCCAAAATTAAATGTATCATGCAGTGAATTAATTATTCATGCATCACATTTTTCATGATATTAAATTCCCGTGAACAAAGTCGGCAAAAAAATGTTAACAAGTCTTCTATCCAATGGGGGGGGGGGGGGCTTCGGGTATTTTTTGAAAAAAAAAATCAATACTAATAATAATGATAATAACAATAATGACAATGATGATGATAAGAGAAGATGAATGACGATGATGATGATGATGATGATGATGATGAGGAGGAGGAGGAGGAGGAGGATGTGGAGGAAGAGGAGGATGGTGATGGTGATGATGATGATGATAACGAAGATGATGATAATGATGATGATGATAATGAGGATGACGACAATGACGATGAGGATGGATGATATGATGATGATGATGATGATGATAATAACAATAACTACAGCAAAACAACAACAGATACAATACCAATAATAATAATAGTAATGAAGAAGTAACAAGGCAAAAAAAAGAGTGAGAGAGAACAAGGAAAGAAATTGTCACAAGAAATTGTCTTCAGAAACTTCAAGTCGCCTCCGTGCGTGCCTCTCTCTTATGATGGAAATTATTCGCTACTTTTCTCTCTCGCTCTCTCGCTCTCTCGCTCTCTCTCTCTCTCTCTCTCTCTCTCTCTCTCTCTCTCCTCTCTCTCTCTCTCTCTCTCTCTCTCTCTCTCTCCTCTCTCTCTCTCTCTCTCTCTCCTCTCTCTCTCTCTCTCTCTCTCTCTCTCCTCTCTCTCTCTCTCTCTCCTTCTCTCTATCTCTCTCTCTCTCTCTCTCTCTCTCTCTCTCCTCTCTCTCTCATCTCTCCTTCTCCTTCTCCTTTCCCTCATCTCTCTCTCATCATTCTCCTCTCTCTCTCTCCCTTCCCTCCCTCATCTCTCCCTTCTCTCCCTCCCTCCTCACTACTCATCTCTCCCTCCCTCACTCTCTCCTATTCTCCTCTATGTCTCCCTCTCCTTCTCCCTTCTTCACTCTCCCTCTCTCTCATTCTCCCTCTCCCTTCTCCATTTCTCCTCTCCTCATTCTCATTCTCCCTCTCCCTCTTATTCTCATTCTCCCTCTCCCTCTCATTTCTCTCCCTTTCTCCTCTCCCTCTCTTCTCATTCTCCATCTACCTCCCTTTCCTCTCCCTCCCTCCCTCTCATTCTCCCTCTCACCAATTACTGAACAGATCGGCAGATGTACCCAACGACCTCACTCATCAGTAGAGTTAGAACAAATTATCATGTACATTTTTTAAAATAAAAGACCATTACAATTCACTCATTATTACCTGATCAGAGACACGCAAAGTCATGAAATTCTAATTCTCAATTTAAAATATAATCACTCCAATTTATAAACAAGGTGATTCAGTCAAGATGAAAAAAAATAAACAAAATAATATTTCTCAATTGCAAAATAATTTTTTTCTAAGGCATAATTATCTAGTGCATTAAGCTTTCATTAGCCTCCGTAATGGTGATTGAAAGTATAAAAGTTCAAAATAAGTCAAATGAAAATTAGATGGAATTGCAGCGAACGGCTTAGGATGCAAGTCAATTGCAGAGGAAAACAGGCTCTCTGAACGGCTTTCGAAATTAAATATCGTCTTTTTTCGAGGTTTGTCAAGGGTTAAAGAGAAACGAAAAAAATATATAATGATAATGATAAAATAAAAATATGGTTAAATTTCAGGGAAAAGAGAAGCAAAAAAATATAATGATAATGATAAAATGATGATAAAGAGAAGAGTATGAAGACTAATAATAATACTAACGATGACAATCAATATCATAATGATTTATTATAATTATAATAAATATTATAAAGGGATAATGATGCCGATGAAGAGATAAGAACAATGTTAACAGTGATACGGCTTGTTTTATTACTACTAATAATAATAACAATGATGATGCTATGATGATGATGGTGATGATAACAATATCACTAGTAATAATAACAATAACAACAACAATAATAATGATAATAAGAGCAATAATAATAATAATTGTAGTAGTAGTAGTAGTACCAATAATGATAATGAAACTAACGGTAATAATAATAATGATGATAATACATATAACAATAACATCAATAATAATGACGATGACAACTAATCAATCCCTAGCTATTTATATGGCCATTACAGACAAAAATTAAGATATATGTTTATGCATTCTTGCTAATGACATTAAGGTATAATCAGAAGGTAATTTGAATCATTAGGCGTTGATTTAAATATCTGCTTCAATTTGATCCTTCATCGTCTCTCATTATAGAGGGATATAAAGTTCATAACGAGGCTAAAATATTCTAATTTCTAAGATCTCATTTGCATTTTTTTCAAGTTTTTTTTATATATTTTTTTCAGTTTGCTATATTGATAGCTAAATTTC